AGCAGGTCCTTCAGGATCTGATCCGACGCTTGCAGTCCCCAGAAGCTCTGCCCTGCAGGGGCCCCAGCCAGGCTGGCTCAGAGGCCCCCTGAGAGGCCCACTCCTTCCAGAAGTCCTGCCCACAGACCCCTAGTCCTTCCCCTATCCCTGCCCTCCGGATCCCAACCCTGCCCTCCATTCCTCCTTTCCTTTCAACATTACCAGGTCCTGGTCTTTGCTCTTCCCCTGGGAATGGAGGTAAGAAGGTGGGCATAGTTGTAGGCTGAGCCTTTTCTCCACTGCTCCACTCCTGGAAAAACTGAGGCCTGAGCAGACCTTGAGAACCTGTGCCCACTTCCTCCTGGAGGCTCTGGGGAAGCAGGCTCCCCTTCTGCTGGAGAGGCCGGCCCAGGAGGCCTCCAAGGGGCATATCTGTGTCTGAGCTCAAGCACTGGGGTCCTGCCTGAGACCTTCAGCTTCTTCTCTTGTTTTTTTCCCAGCTCTTCCTAGGAAGCCAAGCCTTTCTACCTCATCTGGACATCCCAGCCCCCAGCCCTCAGCCTAAGTGCTACCCGTCAGGCAGACGGGCTGCAGTCTCAGCTTTGCCACTCACCAGCTGAGTGGACTTGGGAGATCACTCTACCTCTCTGTGCCTTCATTTCCTCATACATAGAATGGGACTAGTGATCCCCACCTCATAGGGTTGTTTGAGGATGCAATGATAATGCATATAAAGGACTCAGCTTGGAGCCTGGCACATGGTCAGCACCTCAAAGGAACGGTTTTCCCTGTTCTCTGAGGGCCACTTCCTCAGACCTGCACCTGCTGTACTATTTCCCATTTTTATTTAGGAGGTGGATCAACTCAGAGAGGTGGTATGTGTGGTAGCTAAGAGTCAGATTCTGGAGCCCGTCTGCCCAGCCAGGACCCCCAGCTCTGCCACTTTACTGGCCATCCAGCCTGGGTAAGTTATTTAACCTCTGCACCTCAGTTTCCTCAGCTGCAACATAGGAATGATAATAGTGCTTAAAGCAGTGCCCAGCACCTAGTTAAGCACGAGTGGTGATATAGCTAGTACTACAGAGCCAAGTCCTCCCACGTGGAAAGAGCCTCAGGGGCCATCACGAAAGTTCTCTGACCAGAAAAGTGCCTGTTTCTTCTGACAGAGGGCCTCTTAGAGGAAACTCCCCACTTGGGAGTCCTGCTCCCTTGTGAAGCTCTTATTCCCAAGGTTTTCTGGCTGTTTCTGAGTTTCCCGGAGGCCGGAGAAGGGGGTATGTGGTGGAGGCTTGTCGAGAAATTGAACATGAGATGATGAAAATCTGATCAAAACCGTATGGAGCTGGCTCTGACCAAACACTTAGCCATGTAACTGAGACAGCCCCCATCCCGAGAACTGGATGTGCTCCAGGTGTGAGTGGCGGTGGGGTAATCGTGGGAAAGGGTCATGTTCAATTCCATTTTCTGTTACTCAGATGTGTACTAGGCCTTGTTCTGTGCCAGGCCCTGAGCAGAGCAATGTTGGCAGTTCCCTGGGAACTCTATCAGGGAGCCTTTTTTTTTTTTTGGGCTGAGAGGCTTGTGTGATCTCAGTTCCCCAACCAGGGATTGAATTGGGGTCCCGGCAGTGAAAGCACCAAGTCCTAACCACTGGACCATCAGGGAATTCCCCCGTGGATAGGAAGCTTTTTGTCTGCCATAGGGGTGGACAAAAAGGCTGGAAGCTCTCTAAGTAGGGATGTCAGGTCCCTTTAGGGAGATGTTGGCTGATGAGACAACAGGACTTCAGGTAGGGAAGTGTCACTCAGCTGCCCGCCTTAAACCTGTAGCAAGTGCCGTGTGCCCGAGAGAGGAAGGTGTCTACTTAGAGGCAGGCAGTAAGGCCCCCATATCCTGGTTAGGGAGCCAGGAGTCCACCCCACCCCTCAGAGAGCAGGCAGCTTCATCATTGTCAGGTAGGCAGGCCCGTCAGAACTTGAAATAAAGACTCAACACTTGTCAGTGAATCATAGTGAAACAGGGCAGGTGTTGATTAGATGAAATCAGAGTGCTGAGAATGTTTAAGTGGATCAGGACAAGTCACAGGTTGCTGGGCTAAGCCCTCCTGTGTCTGGCAGGGAGATAAGGGAAAAAGACCTAGTGTCCGGGAGGGTTGGTGACTGGGGGTGGGAAAAACAGGGAAGGAGAAAGCTGGGAGGAAAGGCACTGGCTGGAGAAGAGGTGGGGAGGGCTCAGGCTTCTTTGAAATTCTTCACCCTCCAGGCCTTCAGGGTCCAGCAGGGGGCTGTTCCAGCCACTTCACCAGCACCTAGATTATTTTCTTTCTTCCTGAACCTCAGCTTCCCCTTTATTCCCAGAGGGTGGTCCCTGGGGCCCCGGGAAGTGAAGACTTTCCTTTCTTTCTATTTTTTAAATAAATAAATAAATTTATTTATTTATTTTTGGCTGCGTTGGGTCTTCTTTGCTGCGTGCGGGCTTTCTCTAGTTGCGGCGAGCGGGGGCTACTCTTCGTTGCGGTGCGAGGGCTTCTCATTGTGGTGGCTTTTCTTTGTTGCAGAGCAAGGGCTCTAGGTGTGCGGGCTTCAGTAGTTGTGGCATGTGGACTCAGTAGTTGTGGCTCACGGGCTCTAGAGTGCAGGCTCAGTAGTTGTGGCACACAGGCTTAGTTGCTCCGCGGCATGTGGTATCTTCCCGGACCAGGGCTCAAACCCGTGTCCCCTGCATTGGCAGGCGGATTCTTAACCACTGCGCCACCAGGGAAGTCCGAGTGGGGACCTTTCTGAATGTGCATGACTTTGGGGAGACTGTGTGAATGCTGGGGAGGGTTAGCCTAAGGTCCAAAGATTTAGGAATTAAGTCTTTGTTTGGAGGGGCTCTTAAAAATGAAGCCCCCTATCCCCCACCTGACAGATGGGGGAAGTAAGGTGTTGGAGGGGGCAGTGAGGAAGGGACTTCCCCAGAGTTGCACAGTCAGGGGCAGAAACAGGATTGGGGGATTGGGGACCGGGCATTGAGCTCATGACCTGTTCCTGCATCCCTGCCCACCCCCCCGACCTGTGGCAGTGTCAGGGAGGTGGTGTCCAGGTGCCTCTCTCCTGGTAGCACCTCCTCAGGGCTCCCACCCTCACCTTCTCTACTCCATCTGTGTGTTTCTGCAAGTGTCCAGAGGGTGAGTTTGTCTCTGCCTCTGTGGCAGGCTGAACTTTGCTTGGTTTCACTGGGGACCCAGAAGGATTTGAGGGGATGTACTCCCTCCTCACACCTGTGTTTGTCCTCTGCCTGCTGTGGTGCAGGGCATAGGTCCAAAGAGTGTCCACAGCTATGACCTCTGGAACTCCATGGTTGGCTGACTTAATGGATGGATGAGTTGGTGGGGGGTGGGTGGATGGATGGGTGGAGGTCTAATGGATGCAGAGACAGCTAGATGGATGGCTGCATGCATGCATGAATGAATGGGTAATTTCCCCCAGGTAGCAGAGCCAAATTTCCTGGCTATACCAGTTGTTCTTGCAAACTTTCCCCATTCCACCCACTCCTGTGACTCCAAGACCTGATTTATCTGAGGTTCTGGACACCTCATCCTAGGAGCAGAGGTGAGGAAGAAGCTGCTATGCTCTCAGCTCAGTGAGGAGGGGCTGGCACAACCCCTCACTGCTGCTTCCCTTCCAAGTTTGCCCAAGCCTGCCCAGGCCTGCTTTTGTTACCAGATAAGGTATACGGTGTAGCGGTGGCCCCTGTTCCCAGGTGAGGATGCTCAGTCTGGTGTACTAGCTGTCATACCAACCCCAGGGGCACAGACTTGCTGCTCCCAGCTGAACAGGCCCTTAGGGGCCATAGTTGGGCAACCAGCCAGCTTTCCCAGAGGACATCCCAGGCACGAGGAGTTCATTCCTCCCAGAGCAGTCTTGTGAGATGTTCCAAGAGTCGAGGGCTTTTGTCTCCCAGAGCTGAGGCTCCTTCCCTGTGACTCCTCTGGTCTCAGTGTTGCCTTGGCCCTGGAGCCCATGTGGCTACGAGGTGGTGGGGGTCCCCCCATGCTGAATCTCCCCAGCTCTCTGGCTGTTCCTTTTTCCTTCCTCTCCCACTCTGACCTCTGGCTCCCAGGTCTGTCTGTCAGCATCCCTGAGAAGCATGGCCCCAGGATTGCCACGTGGACCCAGGTGGGGCTGGACCTGGCCCAGAGTGACTGGGTGAGAGAAGAGGGCTGGACTGGAGGTCAGATTCTATATGGACAGATGGGCCCTCACCTCTGGCTGCTGACCCTTTTCTTACATATTTATCTGCTCTCAAGACAAATATTTATTGAGTGACTACCTTGTGCCAAGCCGTGTACTTCATACCAGGGAGACAGTGGAAACCAAAATAGACAAGATCCCTGTTCAGGAAGGCTGACAAACTAACAATTATAGCTCAGCATCTTGAGTGCTGCAAGAGGAGAGGAGCAGAGGGCCCCGGGAGTTTGGGAGGGAGGGAGGCTGCCTAACCCAGTGTGGAGTCAGGGAAGGCTTCCTGGAGGAGGAGTCATCCAGACCCAGATGGGAAGCCAGGCAGGCAGAAGAGAGAGAAGAGTGTTCCAGACAGAGGGAATGGCTTGGGTGGATGGGTTCTTTCCCCCCAGGCAACAGAGTTGGGCCTCCTGGCCCTCCTCCAGCCATGAGAGCTGGTTCCCAACAACTCCCTTCCCCGCCCCCAGTGACACCAGATCCCTGAGACACCTGGATGCTTGAGCACCTGTCCTGGAGGGCAAAAACTCAGAGGCCTGAGAGAGTTTGGGTCATTCAGGGGACGGGCACAGGTTTAGTGTTGCTGAGCCGTGGAGTGTGATAGGGCTGTAAGGAGACGTGAGGTGGGGCCCTGATCATGGGAGCTGATCCTGAGAACACAGAGTATTAGGTGGAGGTCGATGAGGACGTTGCTTGGGCTGCAGGGTGGAAACTAACCCGGCCATTCCACCTCCCCCTTTCTATCACAGTCCTCCTGGACAGACAGCAAACAGAGAGCAGACAGACGGATTCGTGGGTACCAGCTGGGCTTTATTGGAAACACTGCAGTCTGGGCATGGAGAAGTTGTGCTTCCACCACACTCATCCACACTCACACTCACGCTCACGCTCCTGCCCCGCCCCAGCTGGGTCAGGTCTGGTGCAGGGGAGCAGGAGGCCTGGTCCTCCCTTCTGGTCCTTGGTTCCCCAAGGCTTCAGTGATTCACATTCTTTCCCTCAGACACAGGGCTCCCTCTGAGGCTGTCATGGGCTACCTGCTGTAGTGCTTTCCCTGGGGGAGGAAGGAGAGGCAAAGTCATGAGCTGGGGTCTTGGACAGGGGCTTGCAGGGAGGAGGCAGGGCTGGGGAGGGCCAGGCTTGCCTTGGCTGAGTTCTTCTGCAGTCTCCGGATGATGCGGCCCACCCAGGGCTGGTCTGGGGGTGCACAGAGCTGGCGACCTCTCAGTGTGGTGAACCTGGAGACAGAGGTCAGAGGTCAGAGAAAATAGAGCCCTGGAACCCAGCTTCCTGGCAGACCCTGGTGTGAGGGACAGCGGCTGGGGACCACACCTAGGAGCCTGTTTCAGGGGCTTCCTTGCAGAGGTTGGGTTAGGCAAGGAGAAGAGAGATAAGAAGGTGGGGGTGGGTTTCCCCAGGGGCTGATGGAGGAGGTGAGGTTAGTCAGGCTTGTCCCGCAACTCACACAACGGCAGACACCCTGCAGCCATTGTTGATGAGCAGGTAGCGATAGGCTCGCACCAGGAATCCAGGGATGGGGCGCTGGGCCACAGACAGGCAGCAGTCTTCAGCGTCGTTGGCATCTCCCAGAGCTGGGGTAGGATTAGTGTCAGGACACAGGGACACTGAGGAACGGAGGCCACAGCCCTCACTGGCATTAAGGATGCCTGTCTGTGTGTGGCGGCAGCTAGACCTGATTGATATTCGCTAAATATATTGAAGCACTTCTAAGCAGTTCGGCAAACGACCGCTGTCCTGAGCCCCACAAATGCCCTCCTGCTGCCCTGATCACCCCAACTTCTTTCCCAAGTCTTTTCAAATTCCCCACAAATGAAGAGTTCACGCTGGTTACAGTGTCAGTTGGGGGAAGGATGTGGGGTAGGGAAGGGGGTGGGGTGGGTAACAGGAGGGTGGCATTAGCAGATCTTAGGAGTTGTTAAATTTTTTGACCCTTCATAGACCGGTGTCTCCCATTCTCTCCACCTTAAGAAAGTATATACTGTTCTCTCCCGCCTGTGAAACTGAGGCAGCAGGAAATAGAGCCTGAAGAGAGGGGGGTAGTCATAGGCCCTGGATACACCAAGAGGCAGATACACATGGGAATTCAGGGACCCAGGTACACCGCCACTCACAGGCACACACACGGGGCACAACCCAGATTCACTGAAACATGCAATCCTAACTCACAGAGTCCCTCACGTCCAGCGTCAAGCAGTCTGAGCCCTAGACACCCCTGCTACTTGCCCCCCACCCTAAGCCTCCCCTCAGCCTTACCAGGGGAGGTCCAGAGAATCAGCAGGCTGAGGGCTAGCAGTGCAGCTGCATGGGATGCCATGGAGGATGAGCGGAGGCTGACTGCCAGCAAGCTGTGAGCGTGAGTGAATCTGGGCAGAGTCTGTGTGAAGCCGAGGCCTGGCTGGGAGTGGGTGAGAGTGCCGAGAAGTGCGGGGTGTGAAGGGGTCTGGGAATGTGAGAGTGGACGAAGCTGGAGGAAGCTGCCACTTCCACCCATTTATGGCCCGGAACTTTCACTTTCTCTGCTCAGAAATTCCCCTCCAAGTCCATTCTGTGGATTCCCCTCTGCCCCCCTCTTTCTGACGGAAACTGACCCTGCCCTCCCTCTTTTCTTCTCTTCTGCTTTCCTTGGTTTCAGCTCTAAGAACCTAAGCAGCCTGCAGTCTGGCCAAGAGAAGGGGACCTTGTGCTGTCAGCTCCAGAGAGAGAGTCTGCACTAGCACCTCCCTGGTGGCATTTGTGTCATCAGCCATAGGGCTGGCCTCTAGATGATGGTTGGGATGGAGGGGCCCGAGTGAGGAGCTGCGTGCCCTTCCCTAGGTTTATCCCTTATCCTCACTCTCTTCTCTGTGGTTCTTCTCTCTGGTGCTGGTGGTGATGAAGAAGACTCCCTGGTGCCCTCAGAACAACCATGGAGCCTGGGGTAGCCTCCCCAGGTCATTACAGTGCCTGCCCATCCCTGGTCTGGGGACCAGTCTCTCCCTTGAGACAAGCAGAGTTGAGAAGGAATGTTCCTTGGAAGGAGGCCTACCACCTCTTCCCACATCTCAGACCTCTGGGATTCAACCTCCTGACTCAGCAGCACTGTCCCTTTCTTGAGTTACCATTTTCATATGCCCAACACCTGGGTCAGCAGAACAGCTGGAGGGAGCCTGGCCTGGCATAACTCCCTTCATCTTTCCCTTCCTCTGGATCCTGGAAACCAAGAGGGGATTTCTAAGGAGAGGGGGCTGGCCAGCTCATATTCACACAAATCCCCAGATTCCAAGGAATAGACAGATGGGGGAGGGGACAAGTGATTTCCCATCCTTATGAGAAAAACTGGAGATAGATCAGAAGAGAAGTCCTCAGAAGAGAAATTAATATGTGGGACACCCATTCACCCATCCCTACCCAAGCTCTGAATCCTCTTTTGGATGGGAGAGTGTTTCACTCATAAATTTCTGACTTATTTTTCTTTCCATCCATTAATAATAATAGTAGTAATAGTGTTTCTGATTGTTTACTAGGTGCTAGACTTCATACCAAGGACTTGACCACTGTTACCTTGCTTAACTTTCCCCAAAAAACTAGGAGGTAGTTTTTTTTTTTTAAATAAATTTATTTATTTTTGGCTGCGTTGGGTCTTTGTTGCTGCGCGCGGGCTTCTCATTACGGAGGCTTCTCTTGTTGCGGAGCATAGGTGCGCAGGCTTCCGTACTTGTGGCTCACAGGCTCTAGAGCACAGGTTCAGTAGTTGTGGCGCACGGGCTTAGTTGTTCCGCGGCATGTGGGATCTTCCCGGTCCAGGGCTCAAACCCTTGTCCCCTGCATTGGCAGGCAGATTCTTAACCACTGCCCCACCAGGGAAGCCCTAGGAAGTAGTTTTTATTATTATCATATTATTATCTCTTTTAACACATAAGGAATGCGGCTCAGAGCACAAGGTCACAAAGGAAATAAATGTCTTGAACTGAGGCATCTTTAAGATTTACACTCTTTCCTACCATCCCACACTGCCTGTCTGCCATTGATCACACAACAGCACAGGGGAGTGAGGCTCTACACATAGCATGCCTAGGTTGGGATTTAGATTACATTACTTGCTAGCTGTGTGACCATGTGCAAAGTATCTAGTTTCTGTGTCTTAGTGTCCTTATCTGTAAAAGAGGAATGGTAATAGTTTTTAATTCTTAGGATTAAATGAGGTGATCTGAGCAAAACCCTTAGTTTAGAGGCTGGTACACAATGAACACTCAATATTAACCATTATTATTATTCTATCCTTTTATTCAGATGTCTGTCAGTGCATCTATCTCTCCATCTTTCCATGGATCCTTGTCTTTATGGTGGTTCTGATTATTCTCTGTTGCCCCACCCCTGTCCATTCTCCACTCTTCTCTGCCCTGCTCTGTTCTCTAGAAGGGTGACCTCTACAGACAGTATTACTCAGGATCCCTTATCCTTTAGCTTCTGTTTGGGCTTGGCCATGGGAGGCAGCAGCAGGAGATCAGTGGTAGGAGAGAGAGGTTGGGGTATTAATTCTCCAAATCCTTCATCTTGCTATAGTTCTGACAGTGAATAATTTACTCTGTGGCAGTTGTTCTTAAAGAGTGGTCTTTGGGGGCTTCCCTGGTGGTGCAGTGGTTAAGAATCCGCCTGCCAATGCAGGGAACACGGGTTTGAGCCCTGGTCCGGCAAGATCCCACATGCTGTGGAGCAACTAAGGCTGTGTGCCACAGCTATTGAGCCCGTGCTCTAGAGCCCACGAGCCACAACTACTGAGCCCACATGCCACAACTACTGAAGCCTGCGCACCTAGAGCCCGTGCTCCGCAACAAGAGAAGCCACCGCAATGAGAAGCCCATGCACTGCAACGAAGAGTAGCCCCTGCACACTGCAACTAGAGAAAAACCCACGCACAGCAATGAAGAACCAACGCAGCCAAAAAAAAAAAAAATTAATTAAAAAAAAAGAGTGGTGTTCAGACAGCAGCAGCAGCATCACCTGGGAGCTTGTTAGAAATGTAAATTCTCAGGTCCTACTCCAGACCTACTGGAGCAATCCGTATTTTAACACACCCTTGATGACTCTGATACATGCTGAAGTTTGAGAACCACTGATCTACAGTTAGATTCTTTTGGGCTGCCTCCTCTCCGTGGGTTTATCTCTGAGGCTCCCAAAACACTGTTCCTTCCTCTGGCCCCTTCAGGCCTTGGTATGGTAATGGTTTCCCACTATTGCTGAACCCTGAGTGTCTCACTCTTCCTTGTTGGTTCCTTAATCTTGACCCCCACCTCTTAAATAGCCCCTTTATTAAAATCTTTCTGGTTAGACTTTTTTTGAGTGTGTCATCTGTTTCCTGCCAGGATCCTAACTGATACAGTAAATGGTACCAGAAGACATCCCAGGAAATAGATTTCCAAAATGGGATCCTGGGATTGCGTTGCTCATATATTTGCTGAGTGCACAAACCTCCTTGCATGGGGAAAGAGGACACGAGTAAATCCAGAACATGAAGAAGCATCACCATCACTTAAGACTATCACTAAGCGAGGTGCAGTGTGGGATGCTGATGGAGGGAAAGACATTAGGAGATAAAATGTCTCAGGTACTTAATTGCTGTGGCCGCAAATGGTGATTTCAAAGGGTCATTACATATATGGTTGGGTGGGCTGCCTGTTTCTGATTGTGCTGGCACAATTACATAAGAAAAAGAGAAGTTTAAGAACATGAAATTCTATAACTGATTCACTTAGTTATAAAGCAGAAACTAACACACCATTGTAAAGCAATTATACTCCAACAAAGATGTAAAAAAAAAAAAAAAAAAAACCAGTAAAGGTTAAAAAAAAAAAGAACATGAAATTCTAATTCAAGTTATGGGTAGAGATTCAGACAACTTCTATGGAATTTTTTTTAATTGAAGTACAGTTGATTTACAATGTTGTGTTAGTTTCTGGTGTACGGCAAAGTGATTCGGTTACATGTATATCTATGTATCTATTCTTTTTCAGATTCTTTTCCATTATAGGTTATTACAAGGTATTGAATATAGTTCCCTGTGCTCTACAGTAGGTCCTTGTTGTTTATTTATTCTATACGTAGTAGTGTGTATCTGTTAATCCCAAGCTCCTAATTTATCCCTCTCCTCCTAATTTATCCCCCTTCACTATGGAATTCTTAAGTCATCTTTAATTTATGTGATCCATAGCCACATGGCAGATATGGCTATGGATCAAGCCCCCAAACTGATTGTATGTGTGGTAGAGTTACAACACGGGATAAATGCACAACCCCACCGTATTCCTAATACTAGAATAAGCGCACTCTTGGGAAGGAGAAGGACTCTGAGACTTGGGATGGGGACATTTAGGCAGAGATGAACAAAGCTGAGAATTTTGGACCTTTTAATTCCCTTAAACCTTCCTTGCTGGCAGAAGAACACTCCTCCCCCTGCAAACCATGAATGATCCAGCCTTCCCATCCATTAAAAAATATTTTTAATAACTCCCTGGCAAAAGGCATGCTGGGGTCCTCTTCAGGATCCACCCTCACCACCCTTCATAGCCTCCGGGCCCATAGTGCGAGTTTGATTCTAACATAGCCTGGATAGGAATGTACAAGATATGCTCCAAGAACAATAGCGTGTACACTGAAGGAGTTGCAAGAACTTGTCAACCGTATTGGGAGAAGCTCGGGGACCAGTGTGGACAAATTTATTGATATGTATGCCCTTATCCAGGATTTGGGTATTACTGTATTAGCTGAGCACCTGGGAATGGTGTTAATAATCTGTTGAGTTGGTTACTGGAAGCCTGGACTCAACAGTGGCCTATGATCAATGAGGTTGGGGTGCTAGAACCTCACTGGCATATTGTAGAACAGTCTTCCTCAGAATTGGAGGTGCATATGATTCACTGGGGGGTCTTACTAAACTGCAGATTCTGATTAAGTAAGTCTGGGTGAAGTCCAAGGTGTTGTGTTTCTGACAAACTTCTAATTGATGCTGATGCTGCTGGTCCTCAGAATACACCCTGAGTAGCAAAACAGAGGCAAGAGTGCAAAGGTTACAGAGAAGGGAATGTTGGAGGCCCCTCTTACGTGCAACCACTAATTCTGAAGGGTCCAGGGAGATAATTCCCTCTCCAAGGCCATAAGAAAAGCACTGGTGATGAGAGCACTGACTATGAAAAGCACCGTAGTGGTTTCTTTTTTTAAATAAATTTATTATTTTTTTTAAATTTATTTTTGGCTGTGTTGGGTCTTTGTTGCTGCATGCAGGCTTTCTCTAGTTGCGGCGAGTGGGGGGCTGCTCTTCGTTGCGGTGCGGGAGCTTCTCGTTGCGGTGGCTTCTCTTGCTGTGGAGCACGAGCTCTAGGCACGTGGGCTTCAGTAGTTGTGGCTCCCGGGCTCTAGAGCACAGGCTCAGTAGTTGTGGCGCATGGACTTAGTTGCTCCGCAGCATGTGGGATCTTCCCGGACCAGGGCTCGAACCCGTGTCCCCTGCCTTGGCAGGTGGATTCTTAACCACTGCGTCAACAGGGAAGCCCTGTAGTGGTTTCTTTAGTAGGCAGGAGATGAGGATGGGAGATGTTCTCTTGGGACTGGGCAATCTCATTTCAAGGAGAATAATGGAATCTTTGAGTGGTAGAGTCTAGATGCTCACCTTCTGAGCAATAAGATGAATGAAATTATTAAATAAGCTGCAGGGACAAGTGGTAATCATTGTGCTTTGCCCATAAGGACCTGTGGTGGTAGCTAATTGATCATAGTTTTCCTAGTAATGAAATAGATGGACAACTTACTGACCCATGTAAGTGTAAAATGTCTAGGCCTGGTAGGGAGAAACTTGATTCAAATTGTATTGGGGATCTACAGTGTCTTACCCATTTCCTTGACTTAAATCAGTTCCCCAGACCTGAAGTTCCTTGATTGGATGGTGGGGGGGTGGGGTGGGAAGGCTTGAGTCTTTTCACAGGTGGACTCTATAGATCTCTCTTCTAGTCAGTTGTTCTCAAAGTGTGGTCCCTGGACCAGCAGCATCAGCATCAGCTGGGAACTTGGCAGAAATGCAAATTCTTGGGCTCTGCCTCAACTCCATTGAATCAGAAACTCTGGGAGTGGCCTAGCAATCTGTATTTTAACAAGCCTTTCTGGTGATTTTGATGTATGCTAAAATTCGAGAATCACTTCTTTAAGCCTTCCCTAGAGAGATCTGTAGCCGTTTGCCCGGGTGACTATGAATGGTGAACAGAAAAAATTCTTTGATCTTTGGGGGATTATTAGATACTGTCTCCTGTTAATACTAGTCTTGGGGACCCAAAACCCCATTGTGGTCCACTAGTCAGAGTAAGGGTTTATGGAGTTCAGGTGATAGAAGGATCTTGGTTCAGGTCCATCTCACAGTGAATCTGTAAGACCTATCCAATGGTTATTTCTCTAGTTTCGGAATGTATAGTGGGAATACCTATACTTAGTAATTAGCAAGGTCTCCACACTGGTTCCTTGACCATGGAGTGAGGAAAATTATGGGAGGAAGGGCCAAGTGGAAGTCCTTTGAACTGTGCCTGCCCCACCATGTTCCCCCCTACAATAGTAAACTTAAAGCAATGCTTTGTTGCTAGAGAATGTGCATAGAATAGAGCACCTTCAAAGACTTAAAGATGCTTCAGCCCTTGGTACAGCATATTACAGCTAATAATCTAGCACGTGCCTTCTTTCTGTAGCAGTCACTTAAAGACCATTGAAATCCATTCGTTTTCAACTATAATGACAGAAATACACCTTCACTGTTTTACCTCAGGGATATTATCAGCTTTCCTGCTCTGATTATCATAAGATAATCTGGATATCTCACAGAATATCAAAGTAGTCCTTTAAACTGATGACATTATGTTTACTGGCGCACAAGAAATAGCAGTCGCCCTAAATGCCTCAGTAAGACCTATGTATGTCAGAGGGAGAGAAAGAAGTCTTCCAAAAATTCAGGGTCCTGCAACATAGGTAAAATTTCTAGGCTATTAGAGGTAGGGAGAAGCTGAAAACCAGTGATCTGGGGAATGTTGCACATTTACCGTGAAGAGGCACAATGCTTAAAGAGCTGTTTGGATTTTGGAGGCAACATACATCATAGTTAGGTGTAGTACAGCAAAATATTTATTGGATATGGCATAAAGCTGACAGTTTTTTTTCTTTTTTTTTTTTTTGCAGTACACGGGCCTCTCACTGTTGTGGCTTCTCCCGTTGCGGAGCACAGGCTCCGGATGCGCAGGCTCAGCGGCCATGGCTCACGGGCCCAGCCGCTCCGCGGCATGTGGGATCTTCCCGGACCGGGACACGAACCCGCGTCCCCTGCATCGGCAGGCGGACTCTCAACCACTGCGCCACTAGGGAAGCCCCAAGCTGACAGTTCTGAATGAGGCCCAGAGCAAGGAAGGGGTCTGCAGCAGGTCTAGGCTCTGGGGAAAAGTTGCCTGTCTACTTGGGCCTTATGACTCATAAATCCAGGGAATTTCAGATTGTCTGTGGCAGAGAAGGGTGCGACAGGAGCCCCAGAAGGAGCATTACAGGAAAGACCCTTAGGGTGTTGGAGTAAGGACATACCTCTTCTGCTAACGATTATTTACTCTTTGAAAATCAGTCCTGATTTGCCACTGGGCCCTGGTTTAAAACTCAGACTATAGATCACCCAGTGACAACGCAACCTAGGGTGTTATCTATAGCAAGTCATATAGTTGGATGTGCATGGCCAGCGTTCCACTGTCAAAGGAACATTGTACATTTGAGACCAGGCCTTAGAAATTTCAGAAGGCATGAGTAAAAGCGTGGGGAGGTGACTCAGATTCCTACTTTTATTGTTTTCTGCTTCTTCTTCTGATCATACTTACGCCTTCATGGAGAAGTTTTCTACAAACAGTTAACAGAGAGAGGAAGTGTATGGTCTTGATTTTCAGATGGGTCTCTAAGGTATGCTGGCATCAGTCAAAAGTAGACAGTTGCTTACATTCAGGTGTGGCCCTGAAAGACAGCGGTGAAGGGAAGTCCTCTCAGTGGGCAGAATTTCAGGCAGTACATTTAATGTCCACTTTGTCAGAAGGAGAGATGGCCTGAAGTTTGGAGCTATACAAATTCATGTGCAGTGGCTGCCCACAACAACCTTGCCCTCACCTCTGTAAATTGACCCTTCACTAAATTCTTTTCTATTAAGACTTTTGGGTCATGTCATTTGTTTCCCTCCAAGATCTTATATGATACAAGAGTATAGTGCAGAGCTGGCATAAAGGTTTCAAATAAATTTCAATACTGTCTTCCTGGAATGCCTGTTGGGAAAGATCCTGAGAATCAGCAGCAAAGGGTGAAATAATAATAAACAAGGGATTTACACCACATTCATTCAATAAATATTTATTGAGGGCGTCCTATGCTCCAGACACTGTTCTTGGCACTGGGACACAACAACATGGGCCAGATAGTGTAGGGCTTTGTAGGCCATTGCAGAGTTTATGTTCTACTCTGAATGAGTTGGGGAACCTTTGGAGGGCTTTGAACAGTGACATGATCTGGCATGTGTTAAAGTCTCCCTGTGGCTGTCGGATGGAAGATAGACAAAAGTGGTGCAAAAATGGAAGCCTGGAGACCAGCTTGGAGGCAATTGCAATAATCCAGGGAGGACATGAGGTTGCTGAGAGTTGGTGAGAAGTGGTCAGATTCTGGAAACATTTTGAATGTAGAGCCAGTGGGCTCTGCTGAGGGGTTCAGCATAGGATATGAGAGAAAGAAGAGAAAGAGAGACAGAGAAAATACTTCAATGTTTTTGGCTTGAGCAATGTGATTGTTGGAGTTATATTTACCAAGATGTGGACGACTGTAGAGGAGTGGGTTTGTGAGAAGGTCAGGAGCCTTGTTTTTTTTTTTAATTTTTATTGAAATATAGTTGATTTAGAATGCTGTCTTAGTCTCAGGTATACAGCAAAGTGATTCAGTTGTATATATACAGGGGACCGCTGGTCCTGCTGGTCTTTTATAGATTCTGTTCCATTATAGGTTATTACAAGATATTGAGCATAGTTCCCTGTGCTATACAGGTTCTTGTTAGTTATCTATTTTATATATAGTAGCATGTATATTTTAATCCCAAACTCCTAATTTATCTCGCCCTCCAGGAGCCTTGTTTTGACTTTTTACGATGAAGCTGCATTTTGGACATATAAGTGGAGATGTTAAGTACGTAGTTGGTAGTATGAGTCTAGAGTTCAGGCGAGAGATTCTAGCTGAAGATAAAAATTTGGGAGCATATGGATGGTATTTAAAACCATAAGACAATGAGGTCATCAAGGGAGTGAGTGTAGATAGAAGGGGTCAAGTTCCAAGGCCTGGAGCTCCCTAACACTGACAGATCAAGGAGAAGAAGAGGAATCGGGGAAGGTGACAGCCATCAGGTGTTCTGATGGTACCTTCTATCATGGCAAAAAGGCGGAGGGCATAGGCCCTATGGGTGGAAGGTTTAAGGCACCAACTCCCCAGCCATTGGTTTAAATGATCCAGTGGTGGGGTGGTGGAGACCAGGGAGGTGGGTTTGAAACAGTTTCTGACCACACCCATAGAGCCTTCAGTGTGCTACCTGCTTTACCTAGTTCACCCTCTTCTCAGCCACGTGGCCTTCTTGGGGTTCCTGGTTCAGTGTGAGTTTTGGACAAATCTCCCAGCTTGGGGCAGTTCAGCTCATCTTGGCACCACACTCTCCCAAGGAGCCCGCTCAGCCTTCATGCTCCCTGGTCTGATCAAATCCATGCCGCAGGGGTGGGAGATCTTGGGTGGAGGGCACTTTAGCCATCGAGGCAGGTAAGGCAGCAGCGAGGCCAGGAAAGTCAACCAAGGCCATGGTAGGAGTGGGAGTACCAGGGAGTAAACGGTTGTGGAGAGCATCTCGATTAGATGCTTAATAAATGTTTGTTGAATGGATGAATGTGAGTATCAGGAGCTGTGTCCCTGGGGCTGAGCGTGACTGGTGTGCCCGTCATCCGCGTGTGTGTGTGTGTGAGAGAGCGAGAGCTATGGCTCTGTGTCCACGTCTGTGCCTGATGTGTCTCCCCTCCCAGGCCTGCAGAGGGCGCACCAGCCTGGGAAGGGAGGCTCGAGTGGGCGCCGCTCTGTCTGAGGGGTGGGTGGGCGCTGGCGGGTGGGGGGTGCTCTAGCAAGGGCGGGATGCGGCCCTGACCCGGCGGGCTGCTCAGAGAGACTGAGAAGGGCGTTGGGCCCAAAGTCCGTGGGCCTGGCACGGCCTCTGGTGCTGTACCCGCTCCAGGCCCCAGCTGGTCCCGAGGCCGAAGGTCCGGCCCCGGGTCCCAGCGCGCGGGTCCCGGCACACGGGCGGAACGTGCAGAAGGGAGACTCGGGTTGCGGGTGGGACCCGCAGCTCCAGGACCCGGGGTCGGCGTGGGCTCGGGAAGCGCCCGGGCGGCGATTACCCAGGGCTGAGCACAGCGGCTGTCCCGCCAAATCTCTGCCACTCGGGCCCCTGAATCCGCGGGTACTCGGCTGGGCAGGCTGGGACGCATGGGCGGCCGGAGGCCGGTGTTTTTCCGTGAGTATTTGTCTTCCCCACCCCAAGTATTCCCAATTTATCCTGAGGCCAGGGCGCCCAACGTGGAAGACAGGAAGCAATGTTTGTCTTAAAGGCTGAAGGAAGTTCACATTACCTCCGGGACTTCCTTCGCAACATAAATAACCCGCACCCGACTGATTCCTTAAACCACGTAATTACGGTGCCAGCTCTAAGAAAGGTTTCTTTCAACCTTTAGGTTGAAACCATAGGCTTTCAAGGTTTATTGAAAGCCTAACTGTGTGCCCGGCGCGACGCTCGCTCGGTGCCGGAGGATGAAGTGCTTTCACCTGGACAGGGACGGAAAACGAGTTTGTCCTGCTCATCAGTGGACATGGGAAAATTCTAGACCCCTGGTCTAGCATGAGACACATTTGAGGACAAATAATAAAGGGGGGGAAAAAAATCCCAGAAAGATGAAGGAAATGAGAACAGTAGTGATCAACCCACAAGCCTGTTTGCCTTTGGAGGACGGAGGACCGCGACGACGATGCTGCCTCCTAGTGGCGGAGTCGGGCAATGAGGCCAAGTGGAGTTTAACATCCCGTCCGCTGTGGGTATGCTGAACCGAAACGGCTGCTCAGGTAATCACAGATGGAGTTCGGTTATTCATTTAATATTAGATTGAAATTTATTACTATCACAATCCAGGACTCTAAAACAAAAGTCTTCAAGAACATGGCATCAGAGTTTCCCTGGGGTGTTTTTGTTTGCCACCAACTGGGAAATGGATTTCTTGAAGAAAATGAAGTTTTCAGCTTCCTGACATAGCTAGCTAACACAATCTCTGTAGGGGAACTGCAGAAGAGCCACCGCTAGAAGAATACCAAATATAGGCATTAGAAAAAGGCTTGGCAATTTCAACACCCATAAAAGTGGTAATTCATCGGTCAAGATTGATGGCAAAGGAAAGATACACTGATGATTTTTAACAAAATAGCATCACTTTGTCCCCAAATACAAGGATAAATAACACCTGGACATGCAAAGAAAAAGAACTTCACAAAAGAGGTCAGTTGAAGCTGAAGACATTTTCACAGGTAAATGATTAAAGCTAGGAAACAAATTAATTTTGAGCTTTCATAAATAGCAAGTATAGACCCAGTCCCCCTGACCTTCCTGTGCCATAAAGCTGGGCAGAAGATGCCAAATATGTCAGTGGTGCTGTGCTGGTAGCCCCATAGTACCCCATTTTTGAAGATGTCAAAAGAAAGATCCTGTCATTGGTGATCATGTCCCTCTAATGACTGATGAGTAAAGAATGAAATAGTGGCTAGCGAACATGTGGCCCAGGTACCATGGAGGGAGAGAAGTGTTAAGAAATCTGGTTGCTCAGTTTGGAATTAGTTTCCAGTTCATATGACTGAGGTTGTTAAGACATTTCTATTAGCTGTAATTTTGGGAGCTCTTACTAGCCCCATCCATCCTTTACATTTGTGTCAAAGAGGCCCTTAAAGGATTTACAAAGAAGGAGTGAGCCAGGGGAAGCAGAAGGCTTCAGACTTTGAGGCAACACTGACAAGAGGGAGCTGGCCCACCATTTCGTAATTGTGTGTGGGTGTGTTATCATTTCATGGAAGAGATAGTGCTAAAATCATTTGAAAACATGGTATTAGTAATTTTCTGAATGGCACTGAGGGTGACATTGTTAGAAGATAGTAATTACTGTTAAAGGAAATTCCAGGGGTTACAGTGAGTTTTCATGTTTGTTTGATGATGGTTTTGTAAATGTGGGGGATGACTGATCTTTGGAATTTTTTTCTTTTCACATTTCTAGTAAAAGCCATTAATTGTCTTACTGTTGAACACTGGCAGACTAGTATTCAGTAAAATATTTCTTTTTACTGTATGCATGAGCATCAATTTGGAAGTCCTCTAACTTTATAATTTCATTTTATGCTTTATACTTATTTTTACTGAAATATTTACTTATCTAAACAGCAATCTTCTGGAAAGTTACTTTTATCTCCCCTCCCATTTGGGTCTTTGTGATTTGATGCCTTTACAAATGTATACACACACCAGAAACATTTACTTTATTTATTTTATTATTATTATTATTATTTTTTGGCTGCGCTGGGTCTTTGTTGTGGAGCGTGGACTCTCTAGTTGTGGAGCGCGGGCTTAGTTGCCTTGTGGCATTTGGGATCTTAGTTCCCCGATCGATCCCACGTCCCCTGCATTGGAAAGCGGATTCTTAACCACTGGACCACCAGGGAAGTCCTTAGAAACACTTACTTTAGTTTTAGTTGGGGCTCAAGAAGGAGTGAAAATAAATTCCTGTGTTTAATTTGCCATCTTTACCCTGAACTCCTACTTGTCTTTGAATTCGGTGGTGTTGATCTTTCCCCCTGTGGTTTGTGTTTTATGGTTTTATGTTTAACAAGTTCTTTTTCTACCTCAAGGTTATAACCACCCTCACCTATATTGTCTTCTATAACATATATTTTAAACATTAGGTCTTTAATCCTATGATGCAGTGTTTGAAAAATACTGAGGCTATGATAATGGGAAGGTAGAGGTATTTTAAATAAAGGAAGAACAGTTTGAATCTTTAGGAAAAACAAAAAGCTCAGTGACAAAAGGAAAGTAAGCACAGTACGCTACTTTGCTGTGCAGTGAACAACATTTACCTGGTCATCATAATGTAAATTCTGATCATTGTCTAAATATAGTGGTATAGCTATATTTAGAGGCTAGGGTGACAGGAGAAGAGGGTTCGTAAGAGAGCTAAATCTCCACTTTTTATAATAGGAAGTCACTAGGTAACTTAAAAAAAAATTTAATTATTTGGTTGCGCCGGGTCTTAGTTGCAGCGGGTAGGCTCCTTAGTTGTGGCTCACCAGCTCCTTAGTTGTGGCATATGAACTCGTAGTTGCGGCATGCATGTGAGATCTAGTTCCCTAACCAGGGATCGAACCTGGGCCCTCTGCATTGGGAACGTGGAGTCTTAACCGTTGTACCACCAGGGAAGTCCCTCAGTTGATAACTTTAAAAATAGGTAAATGAAGAAACAGAGGTATGAACAAAGTATTTAGACATATGGCACTAAGTCCTAGAGGAAGTAGCTTAAAAGTTGCAGGAAATGGTTGTTCAGAATAAGCCTTTTGGTACTTTCTGATTTTTTTAAACCATGAGTATGTATTATTTGATTTTTTTGAATTATGGATCTTACAGAAAGAAGAAAGAACAGGACAGTATTGTCAAAGATGAAGGCAGAAAAGGAGAGTAGGGACTCATTCTCTGATAAGATAGATATTATATTGCATGCTAATCAGGGTAGGGCTTGAGGCAAATGCCAGCTATGCAGTGTGGCAGGATAATTTAGTGAAATACGAAGTTTTGTTTTGTTTTGCCTATGTTTTCCTTTTTTTCTCTTTTTGCTGATGATTTTCTTTTCTCTTCAGAGCAAGCGAGGGTTTTGGTAGGGCTGAGAGTAGTAGCACCCTGATATTAGAGTCCCTTCTGCCTTTGTAAAAGTCTAAAGCAAACCTGGGAAGAGGTTATACCTTGGAGGGACTGGGAAGAGGGAGGGTTTTGGAGAGAGTTCTTGAAGACTGTGGAGGGGATTGGTGTGTATGTCCAGCCAGTATGCGCAGTGGGCTTTAATCCTTGACTGGGATGAAGCAAGCAAGCCACCTGAGTAGATGGCTCTGGGGAGATGTCTGGGGAAGCTAGGTCCAAGCCCGGAGGCTCTCATAGCTGAGCTCCCATGGCTCAAATGTGGCACAGAGCTAAGAGTTTGAGAGTCCAGGACCCGGGGAGTCATACCTGCTGGGAACACAGGGGCCAAAGCATTCACTGGTGAGACTGATGTCCAATGATGGGATGATGTAGAGGGCATGTAGGAAGCCTCTCCTGTGCCTTGCTGTTTCTTTGACCTTTGCACAGTCCTTGGCAGATGGGACCCCAAGAATGCCAACGCTCCGGTGCAGGGGCTTGGAGTAGGTTCATTGAAAGAACATTTTATTTTATTTTTTGGCCATGCCATGCGGCTTGCAGGATTTTAGTTCCCTGACCAGGGATTGAACCCCGGCCCTGGCAGTGGAAGTGCCGAGTCTTAACCCCTGGACTGCCAGGGAACTCCTGAAAGAACATTTTAAAGTACAGTAAATCTTGAACATCTGAGTTTGTAGACTAAGATCACACCGGCCGCATGATGATAGGTAGGGAGCATCCCCTGTCTTCACTGTACTCGGAAGGAGCAGAGAGCAAATATTTTAATGACTATAATAAGCGGTAAGTGCTGTGGCATGCTCAGGCCCTGGTGGAAGGAGAAGGTGGTGGCAACCACCTCTAGTTCCTTGCCCCTCTCCCAGGATCTGTTCCCTTCTTTCCCACGTGGCCTGGCCCCATCTAATGGTCCTCTCTCTCCTAGCCTAAGGGCGAAGTGGGGAATTGGAGGATCTCTGCTCTGGGAAGGGAGAGGTAGAGGAGAGTTAGACTGGAGCCTTCTTGGAGAGGAGACTAATTTAAATCTGAGTTCTGGGGTTCCAAATTCCTGCCATTGGAGACTTATTCCTTGGCCTCAAGAGGTTAAAGGGGCTAAAGTGCCCCCAGGCCCCACCTAGGGGAGAAAGGAGAAAAGGGAAGGGGAGGATGCTTTCCCAACTGGAAGGAAGCTGAGGGAGGAATAGAGAACTCAGGAATAAAGAGCACATAGTCCCATCAAACAATAAGGAGAGGTCATAGACCCCGCTTCACTGGTCAGGGCGGAAGGGAGTCCTCTGGGGTCTTTGGGAGGAGATAGGGGCTCTCGAGGGCTCCCAGGGCTGGAACTCTGCGTAGGGCAGGTTTCAGTAGAACCTGTGTTCACCTGTGTTACAGGCAGGCCCAGGCTCCTGCCTCCCTCCAGTAGACCCCAAGGAAAGGGGAGGCAGTCCCCGGTGAAGCTGGGAGTGAAAGAATGCTGGGCGGAATCAGGGAAGGGATCTCTTCAGGGTCTCAGAGGCCTACGGAGCTGTTGGGGACATGTGCCTGGGATCCACTGTCTCTTCATTGGCAGGGATTTCTCAGAAACCAGGGGCAGCCCAGGTCCCACCCTGCCTGTCAGCCTCCCTTTTACTGCCCACAGGTCTGGGCACCTGGGAAGCAAGGAAACTCTTGGGGTGGGTGAGGATATAGAATTTGCCAGCCTGAGCTCTTGGCCAGGACCCCAGAGTGTGTGACTCCACCCTGTGGTGACAGTGGCTTCTCTGTGGACACAAACACACAGGAACAGATACTTGGGAGGAAGGCCAGAATGGCTGTTTATTCAGTTAGGTATAAATCATATTTACAAAGACGAGGTGGGTGCAGTGTGGAGCACGGTCAGGTCCAGGGCCCTGGGTGACCTTTCCTCAGAGGGGACAGTCCTGCTGCCACCTCTCACATTTCCTATGGGACTTTCCCTTCTCTGCCTCTCTAGGCCTGGCCTGATGTGGGCAGCTCAGCCGTGCAGGGTAGGGTGGGTATACAGAAGGGGTGGTTGAAGCTGGAGAAGGCGTGAGGTGAGGCCAGCATGGGGTGGCTGCTCTGGGCCCCCTGAGTCCTCCTTCTCTCCTAGCCCACTTCTTGTCCCTTGGGCTGGGGCTCCAAGCCCTGA